TTCCGTCCCCAAATCGACCGAGCGAATTCACCACAGCCTCTCACCGCCGCGACCTCCCTCCCGCAGCCGGATCGATGGCACCCAAGGCGGAGAAGAAGCCGGCAGCGAAGAAGCCCGCGGAGGAGGAGCCCGCGACCGAGAAGGCAGAGAAGGCCCCGGCGGGGAAGAAGCCCAAGGCCGAGAAGCGCCTCCCGGCGGGCAAGTCCGCCGGCAAGGACGGCGGCGAGGGCAAGAAGGGGAAGAAGAAGGCGAAGAAGTCCGTGGAGACCTACAAGATCTACATCTTCAAGGTGCTGAAGCAGGTGCACCCCGACATCGGCATCTCGTCCAAGGCCATGTCCATCATGAACTCCTTCATCAATGACATCTTCGAGAAGCTCGCGGCCGAGGCCGCCAAGCTGGCGCGCTACAACAAGAAGCCCACCATCACCTCCCGCGAGATCCAGACCTCGGTGCGGCTCGTCCTCCCCGGTGAGCTCGCCAAGCACGCCGTCTCCGAGGGCACCAAGGCCGTCACCAAGTTCACCTCTTCTTAGGTTCGTAGTAGTAATGGCTGGGTGGTGTTGGTAGACGTGGCTCAGTTTATCTGGTAGGGCTAGCGATGGAGGATGATGATCTGCGTGTAACTAGAGTTGATTGTGATGATGTTTCTAGAACACTGTTCCACATCACTCGGTGTTTGTTCACATGTTATTATTTCTATCAAGATGTATGGTCTTACTGTAGAACCGTGCCCGGCAGTGTGCTGCTAATTATATGTGCAAACCTATATCAAATATCTGAAACAAGGACACTTGAAATTTCTGTGGGTGCCTTTTTTTTTTTTTTGAAAGCGGAAAGGATTTCATTCATTATGAACATAGTACAGAGATTGGGTGGAATATCCCCCAACTGAAATTTTGCAAAGCAACTCTAACATTACATTCCGGTTGGTGTACTAAAGACTCAGGCAGGAATCGAAGCCTGTCTTGCCAACTTTGCGAGTCCGTCTGCCGTCTTGTTGTCTCTGCTAATGTTGGTAACTGAAAATTGCCTGCATCTGGTAATTGCTTCAATTTCAGCAATGGCTGGCCTAATAGACCAATGAACTGGCCTGTGACGATACGATCCAGCTTGAACTGCTGAGGCAATGACCTGGCGTCGTGCATAAAAAAAATCAGAAATGGAATTGCTTGTTTCCTAATTCATTTTCCTTGCTGGATGAAATTTCTAGACTGTTTATGCACAACCTACACTGGAAGCTTGAATATGTAGAAAAAACTGTGATCTATCGATGATGATGCCATGGAAATGGCTATAATGCTATTCTAGAGCTCCATCATCTGATAGTAGTGGTAAAGTTTGCTTGGCATTTTTTAATTGTCGGATGCTGTTTTAGAGAAACATTAGCTAAGATATGCTAACTGAATAGTGAATAGTACTCTGTTTGGATTCTTTTATATCAGGATCATGGTCACCAAGAAATTGTTGAAGGACACATCCATGTATGACACAGGTTCAAAATTTTCAAAATTGTTGCGATTTCCCCCTAGAAATTGCGTGCTGGTATTGTTCTAGGCTGCTACCAGTAGACAGTAGTATCAGGGATTTCACCCGGCAACTTGTTCATGGTCAAGTTCAGTTTGCTGGCACCTTTTACATTCTTAGATTCTTCAGAGAATGAGGTATGAATTCCTATCCAGCAGCAATAATGCAAAACTATGCAGTTTAGAGTACTATCAAATTCAGGTATCTGACCAGAAAACTGGTTTGCTAACAGAACAGGCTTGAGGTTGTTCAATTCGATAATCTCCCCTGGGACTGACCTGTTCAATTCACTGACAGATCAAGAATGTCAATGTTTTTTTTATAGTTTCTTAAAGGCTTGTTGTAATTGTCCCTTCAAAGTCATTGTTGGATGGAACTATGGAGGTAGCAATTCTATCTGTGTTAGATTTGCAACAGATGGAGAATGAGGCCTGACAACCTATTGTCATTCTAAGCTAATTAAACCAAGTTCAGTTGGCGTCCAATGCAATATGGAAAAACTCTGGACATGAACGTGTGCCCTATGTCTAGTACGCTTAAGGTTGACAAGATTACCAATGTTCGAGGGGGGTACTTGCAGTGATGTTATTGTAATCTAAATATCAGAGAGTCGCGGAGAGATTTTGCTATTGAACTTGGTAGTCACCCACTGAAAGAGTTATTACTGGTAATCATATCTTCAGCTGACAGCGGTTAGCCGTTGCAGTGACGATTTCCGAACCCTCCTTGTCAGTTGCTTATACTGCCTCACAAGAAAAATGAAAAACGAAATGTTCGAGACTGCAGCTTCCCCGTAAGGCCTTCCCCAAGGCTGTTTTTTTTTACTTGCAGCTCCAAGTGCCATATAGAATCGGATAAAAAAAATAGATACTCTACACTTGTCATAGTGCTTTGCAGAAGGTACGTATGCTTAGGGAGAGAGAAGCTGGTCCATGTTAAACAAGAAGAGGGAGAGAAAATAAAGGTGAGGCATGATGAAAGGAAAAAGTTTCTTTGCAAAATACAAGTAGTGATAGTTTGCATTATGTGAATAGTAGTCTCAACATTTCCTAATCTATATGGATCACTTTATTTGTACTAGAGAATGTCAGCCTCCATTGGTGGTGCCATATTGCACAAAGAGAGAAGGTACGTGCTTGTTCCATGCTCCCTCCGTCTCAAATTATCTGTCACTGTTGGTTTCCGTGTCGAAAGTTTGACTCGATTTGTAGAAAATACGTGCAACATTTGTATCTCCAAATAAATTTATTAAAAAACTAGATTCAAATATCTATATAATGATATTAATTATGTATTATAAATATTAATATTTTTAATATATATTTAGTCAAAGTTGTTTATCAGAAAGGGCAAATGACATATATTTTGGGACGGAAGGAGTATTGCACAAAGAGAGAAGGTGGTCCATGTTAAAAACGTAGGTGCTCTACGCTCATCATAGCTGCTTATAGGAGGCCGCACAAATCATTAAATCTGATCTGGATAAGTATAACTTGGTGGAGTGCTAACGGCTAAGATTGGAGATTGGGAAAAAAAAAAGTGGCTCTGCTGAACTGAGTAGCAGTACCCTGGCTAGAAACTCCTATTCTAGGTAGTTTCTCACCAGTATCCATAGGTACGTGACTATGCAGCTTGTTCCATATTGCACAAAGACGCTGGAACGATGCCACAAGCCTATGATCCTCGAGATGCAGCACCTCCAAGCTTGCAAGGTTGATTCCCGGAGACCGCCGGAGCTAATAGACCATCATTGCCCATATGTAATTGAGGGACCACATACAGCTAGCAACAGCAGGTTGATCGTCAGTGAGGCCCTGAACCTGAAGATGCACTAGCGTGGCGCCAATGTTGGAAGGGATGACCTCCATGTTTGGTTGTCCACATTGGGGCTTAAAGTTTTTTTTTTGAGGAATAATTGGGCCTTAAGTTTGTGGAGTACCATAAAGGCCCCGTTCGCTTTGCTGAAAAAACAAGCCAAAACACTGTTCCGACTGATTTGTTGTGAGAGAAAAACACTGTTCCAACTAAAAAAACAAGCTGAGAAGTACGGATTATAAGAGAAGCGATCAGGGAAAAAAAAAGACTTCACGCTGCATTAGCCACCGCCAAAAATTTAAACTACTACCCTAAAAAAAAATGAACTACTAGCCAGTGCAGGCCTGGCTTCATGCCTTCATGCAAGCGAGCGCGCAGCTTCTGAGGTAGGTGCCCCGTTCTTCTTGTCTCCAGGACTAGGAGTATGACGAAGCAACTTCGTAGAGTGTCCAATTAGATTCGCCAGCTCGATCGTGTGGCTAACGTTAATCCTAGAAATGACAGTACATGGTATTCATATGAATTGAGAAAATTTATTACACCTAATTAGTCAAACGCCCCACGATGACTCAATCTTCAGTCCATCCCATTGAATTATACGAGCCATGTGTATATGTACTTATACTGCATCCACGACTACCTGGTTTGATCGGCTTCTTTTTTTATCTAGAACAGTATTTTCCTCTCACAAATTCCTCTAGATTCATCTAGATTCTTTCAAACGAAAAGTGCCGGTGTGGTACTAACTGGTGCCAGTATAATAATGATTATACCAGAAAAGAGAATGGAGAAACAGAAATTACCCGCGTAGTCTCCATAAACGGAGTGAACGAATAGACTAGTGACCGAATAGTCTTAGTTAAACGGAGTCTCCATAGCGACCTAGGAAACAAACAAATTACCCGCGTATTAGGAGTGATCAAAATTCAAAACTCGTGTAGGAATGACTAGTACAAGTCTTCGTTAATCCGCCGTACAGTTGCGCGTGCGTACTACATACGGATCGTCCTGCCTCGTGACTCGTGACAACAAATCGAGTCGCTGTTCCTGAAAAACTTACAAATTTAATTCTTTTACTTATTAATAAAATTATCTAAATTTTAATTAAAACTGTAGATTTTTTTTGACAAGAATAGGTATAAATGTGATCAATTTTTTTTTGGGATTAAAATGTGATCAAATTTAAGATACTTCGGTAGAATTCCTGGAGAAGTGCGTATGAATGTGGAACTGGAATCACATGGGACGACGGACCCACACGCGCGCTGTATGTATTCGCCGCGGGTCAATGTACAACGAGGCAGGCAGGGCAGCCGGTAGTTGGGGCCGTCGCTTGAAGGAGGACGGCCCTGTTCGTCTGTCTTAAACCTGGCTGGATTTGTTTCTTTTTTTTTTATCTAAAATGGTATTTTTTTCTCACACCATTTCATTCGAAACGATGTTTTTAATCCAAATTCATCCAGAATTCCTCGAACCTCGTGGGGCCGACAACAACGCATGGCATGTTGATCGTTGAGGGCTCCCAATCAGAGAATAACAAATACAAGAAACGAATGTGGCTTACGCACGCCACCTTGGCACAATCAGCCAACGTCAGCCACAGGAAATACACGCATACACACACACACACACACAAATCGAAGTGATTAACTGGTCGATCACGGCAGGTGAGACAGGTTGATGCCGGTGGTGACGTTGAAGTACCTGAACGTGGCCGCCCACCGGCGGTTGTCCTTGAGCATGTGCACGGCGATGGTGTCCGGCCGGAAGTTATCCATGAACCAGTTGAGGTCGTACATCCTGGGCTTGAGGTCGTACCGGTTCTTGCCCCTGCCGCCGATGTTGAGCCACTTCCCGACGAGCAGGTCCTCGGGCCCGTGCGTGTCGTTGTGGCGCAGGATGTCCTGGTTGGTGGACACCCAGCGCGCGACGTCCCACGACACGACGTAGCCCATGCCGTGCATGAATGGCATGGGGTCGTCGCCGACGGGGAAGCCGTAGCCGAGGTAGACGTCGTGGCGGGGCTTGCCCCGGAGCTCCTCCACGAGCGCCGCCACGCGCAGGTACGTGTCGTCGTCGGTCTTCATCACGTAGTCGTACGGCGCGGACGCGAAGAGGCGCGGGACGGAGGACAGGTACGCGTGCGTCTTGCCGTCGTTCATGTTCTCGGCGCAGTCCAACACGACGATGTCGCCGTGGCGGCGGGCCTCCACCGCCACCAGCGCGGCGTCGACCGGGTCGGTCACGTTGCAGAAGACGAAGCGGACGTCCACGCGCGCCACCCCCGCTGGCGCCGGCGGCGGCTGCAGCGCGTAGGCCATCCGCACGATGTCCCGCCGCTCCCGCCGGCTCGGCATGGTCAGCACGCCCACGAGCAGGCTGAGCTCCGGCTGTGGCGGCGTCTCGGCGTCGGCGACGGCGACGGAGGCCTTCTTCTCGTCGTCGGCGCCCGTCGACGCGACGGAGTAGTAGCCGCCGGCGCCGTCGTCGGTGCCCGCCGCGCCGCGGCAGAGCACGCCGAGGCCCTGGGAGCGGGCGTGGGAGGAGCCGAGGCTCGGGAGCGCCAGCAGCAGGGCGAGGAGGCCGAGCGGCACCAGGAGGAGGTACGGCGTGCAGAGCGACGCGGTGTGGAGGTGGTGGAGCCCGTGCGACGAAGTGGTCTTCATGGCGCAGCGCACACCGCCAGCTAGCGTTTCGTTCCGTTCCGTGAAAATTGAAGCGAAACGTACGCGTGCGTGCCCCCGGCCCCCGCGCGCCGGGTGTCGGCTTATAAAGCGCACGCCGAGCCGACGTGCGATGCGACTGACTAGTCGTGTCGAGATGTTGGTTGAAACGTTCGTGCATGACGGGAGAAAGCGGTGAAATGGGGCGGGGCGACTGCCCGTAAACTCTAAAAAACGCGGTGAAATGCGTGATGAGTATGGGAGGGAGAAGTTTCAACGTCCGCGAACATGATTAAGTAGCGGCAGTCTGGAACGCCTTCGAACTATGATGCCGTTTGGTTCGAGTAAATGTAACGGGACCTGCCATTGCTTCTGTTTGTTTCAGCCCACGCGTAATGAACTCGCGCTGTTATCTGATACCGTACTATACAAAGTCGATACCTCTCCCACCCCAGCGCAATCGAATAACAGTCTATACCGATTAGAAAAACAGAAGCGAATCTGCCATCGGGTAGCAGAGGAGCCCGCCGTCGAGTGGTCGAGGAAGCCGAGGAGCTCGTCCTGGCTCCACCCCCTGCACGGGGTGGCACTCGAACGCCCAGATCCAGCCTCCTCCTCGTCAACACGAGCCGATTGGCATCATCGTCGCTCTCCAACACCTTCTCCTGGGCCCCGCTACAGATCTACTCGCGTCGTGGTTCCCGCACCCGGCCTGGCCGTCCTCCCATGCCATGAGCTCGCAGACGTCGATGACCGGGAGGTACCAGTGGAGCGCAGAAGCTGGCGATGTATGGCCATGCTGCGGAGGCTGGGGTCAACGGCGAAGGAGTGGAGAATTGATTTCGTGCTTTTTGCCTGAATCTGTTGTTCTTGTTCAGTTTGTTACCGTTACAAAAGGCCAATCAAACAAATCAAGTAATGGCTTCCATTGTTTACGTTACCACTGTTTTTCCATTCCCTTTGCGTTTGCGTTTCCTTAGCTCAACCAAACAGCATGTATATTTAAATTTATCTTCGATTCCATCTGTTCTCGTGAAGTCGTGATGCAGAAAAAAAACGGTCACAGGTCACGAGCAATCATTCGTAGACCATAGAGATTCCGGGCACGGAAAGGGCGTTGTTTAGTTGCTTGCAGCTTGCCTGTTTGTGCGAGTGTGACGGGCGGCAACAACAGGTTCAAGGAGGCCGCCGGGGACACACGATTCGTTGTCGGTTACTGCTTGCTTGGTGTTGGTGAAGCACAATCCGTTGATGGCGTCCACGGTTTGCCTGCTTGATCACATCGTCATATGATGGAAGCTGAGATCGCACCAACCTTGCTATATACTACTATGCCACGCCGGCGCGTCCGGTTATCGAGACAGTTCGGGGTGACTAGGTTGTGATGGCCATTTCACATTGTTTTCGTGTCACGACATGACATCTCATTGCAAAATTGGAAATTGCTCCGTAGGAAGCAGCCCGTGTACGCTTGTGACTCGCTGGCTAGAATTGTCTGTCCCGGCCCTTCATCGTATAATAAAATTGGAAAAGTGAATGTTGCAGTTCTTAACTTGTAGAGTATTTTCTGATCCCTTCGGAACAAGCTAAAATTGAGGGTTGGCACAAAAAATTATGCAGCTATTATTCAAATGTTGGGCCAATAGTGCTAGTTGCAAATAGAGCCCAAGAACAGTGATAGAACACACCGTGTTGGAAGTCCTGGCTGTTGGCGATGGAATGCAGGAGTGGAAGGTTATCCACGTGAAGAGAGCAAAATCGTACGGTTCATGAGCCTGCACAGCTGGCTAAGCGAAATAGGCACTCAGCGGTGTGGCGATTCAATATGCCAGGTTGTGTGAAGCATCTCATTATTTAGGATTGTAATTCAAACTATTCTAAGTTATATATGACTCTCTTTTCTTGCAAAAAAAAAAGTATGTGAATGTCGGTGCCTACACTTCGGTTTGCAAAAGGAATCTAGTTTTGCATTTATTCAAATTATCTAAAGCTTTTACAGTTTATAGAAAAGAGTACTAATATTTGTGATATAAAATTTGGTGATGAATCTAATAATACATACATATTTAATATCATTATTTTTTATATAAATTGTCAAACTGAAAATATTTGACTCAATTATATCCTAATACTTTGTCAACTTACACATTTCTTGTGGTGGAACCTGCCCACCCGGGTTTAAGCTCGATTTGGCACGGGTGTTCGTATTTTCTTGGATTTAATTTAGGATTTAACGACGCTATGCTTTCAGTGGTAGGCGACGCCTCGTCGACAGTGAGACACATGTGGTGATCTTGTGAATCTCGAGATCTGCCGGCTCGGTCCTTTAGAGGTGCTCATAGGGGTAGGATTTACGTACGTGTGCTCATAGGAGTGAGTGTGCGTGCGTGTTATTAGCGTTATGTTGTACTCCGTAAGTCTAAAAAGTTACACATTTGTTTATATATGCTTGTGGTGGTGCTACCTTGCGCCTGCCGCAACTATGCGTGCAACCTATTTCTTTTTCTGTTATTTTCTTCCCCCCTTAGCTTACACGGAAATTGAAATTCCGTTTGAGAATATTATGTAGTAAAAGCTTCCGAGTTGAAACGTTGGGTTTCTTGGTGTTCAATTCAAATTTCCAGTTTCTAATATAAAAAGTCATGTTTGCAGTTTTGAACCCCATAGCATGACCATTTGATTTCAGTGTTCGCCTATTAACTCTAAAATTGACCTTTTGAAATACGGACTTGCTAACGCCCGGACTTCCGAGCCGGGGCGCTAGCGTCAGACGACGCCCGCTTAGTGAGTGAGCGAGCACCCCAGCGCGTCGGGTTTGCGAGCGAGCGCCGCTCTAGACATCGCCTGCACCGCCCCAGACGTCCCCCGCGCCGCCAACCGCTTCCCACGCGTATCCCATGTGCAACACCCGATCTACTTTTAAAACATCCAGATGCAACAGTTGCAACATACAAAAGAAGACAGATGAAACACTTGAAACATGCGTCTGAAACACTTGCAAAAACACCTGAAAAACACTTGAAAACCATTGCAAACATATGCAACATCCAGACGAAACACTTGCAACAAACGTATGAAACACCTGAAAAGCACTTGAAACATACACCTTCAACATGCATGTATATACAACATCCACATCTACTTTTACAACATCTAGATGAAACATTTGCAACATATGTCTGATACAGATGAAACATTTGGAACACACACTTGAAACATACGTGCATAGCCATTGCAACATGTGCAACAACGAGATCTACTTTTGCAACATGGCGATCTACTTTTGCAACAGCGAAATGAAACACTTGCAACACATCACTAAAACATCTGAAATACCTGAAACATATGTTTGCAACATGCGCTTTTTCAGTGCAACATCTCCTTGCTACTTGGGAATGGAGGCTCGTCCGTATGTGGAGTTCACCGGTGTAGAGCTCGCCGGTGGCGCGGAGCTCGTCGCTCCGGTGGAGAAGGCCGTGATAGGTCTGGTGGAGAAGGCCGCGATGGATCTGGCATGAGCTATCACCGCTCTAGTGGAGAAGGCCGTCCGTGCGGTGGAAAAGGCCGCATCGGACAGGAGGCGCGGTGGAGATGGAGGAAGGCGTGTGGCCGTGGCGGGTTGGAGGCACGATGGAGATTGAGGAAGGCTGGTGGCCGCGCTTGAGCGCACTGGAGATGCCGACCGGTGGGCACTCAGATGTCATGGAGAACGCCGAGGCGGCGCTGCGGAGTGTGGTCACGGCGCTACGGAACGAAAGCGCCCGAGTGTTGGCAGCCTTCTGGAGAACAGAAGCGTCCGAGTGTTGGAGAGGACATGACTGCTGCGCTGTTGGGCTGGTGTCACGGCCCACGAACGGGAGCGTCCGGACGATCGTCGGACGCTCTCAGTACAACATTTCCGTTTGAAATGAAACTTTTGAATTTTGACCCATACAGTTACACTTGGTCATTTGAGTTTTTCCTTGCCTGCCAAGTGCCAAATATAAATAAAACAAAGAAATAACAACTGGTGTGCTTGCTACTTGAGGAAGGCACAGCTTCCATGCGCAGTCATTATACTTTTCCAGAAGAGTTTGATAGTACAGTAGGGCAGTAACAAAATGTAGACAAGGAATATACGGCCTGCAACATGCAGTGTCGTTCATCACTGCGGAGAATACACATGGACAGTACAGGATGACAGCAGGAATCAGACATTACACAGGTCATGCCTAAGCCTAACCTCCTTTGTCTATCACTTGCCAGTTTGGCATCCTTTTTCTTCCAAGGACGACAAAGGCAAAGACTCCGAGCAAAGACTACTAGATTGGCAACTTGCACGGCGGTTTGGATCGCGCCAACAGACGAACCATCGGCTCACGCGACATGACACGACGTGGGACGTGACTCACATGCTCCCCCACTACTGTTCCATGGTTCCATTCGTGTGTCGCACAACCAATGCACGAACACTTGCCAAAGAATTTACTCTTAACAATTGCCACGGACTGATTGCAAACAATTAGTACTAGCACAAAAGAAAAAAGAACGGTGTGTTGGTCGGTCGATGAGATGACGATCACGGCAGGTGGTACAGGTCGGACGGCGTGATCCCGGCGGTGACGTTGAAGTACCTGAACGTCGCCGCCCAGCGTTGGTTCGTCTTGAGCATGTGCACGGCCACGGTGTCCGGCCGGAAGTTGTCCATGTCCCAATTGAGGTCGTACATCCTCGGCTTGAGGTCGTACCGGTTCTTCCCCCTGCCGGCGAGGTTGAGCCACTTGCCGACCATGAGGTCCTCGGGGCCCAGGGTGTCGTTGCGTGCCAGGATCTCGTCGGCGCCGGCGATCCAGGCCGCCACGTCCCACGACACGACGTACCCCATGCCGTGCATGAACGGCATCGGCTGCCCGCCCATGGCGTATCCGTAGCCGAGGTAGAGGTCGTCGCGGGGCTTGGAGCGGAGCTCCTCCACGAGCGCCGCCACGCGCAGGTACGTGTCATCGTCGGTCTTCATCACGTAG